CACAAGGATAAGGGGACACACTGGGGAGTTCCTGGGCTAAAGAGAGATAAAGAGAAGTTCACAGGGAGCAAAGGGAGCCCCATGGGCTCCTGTCAGCTTCACCTCCCACATCCCTGTCTCCTGGAACACCCTCTACTCATAGCCTCTCACCTGTCACCCCACCCATTGGCACCAAAGGAACATTGAGGTGGCCCTCAGTTGCTCCTGCCAGCCAGACGGTGCCACTGAGCTATGACAAGACATATGATTGTCCATGGGGCTGGTAGGTGCAGGGACAGTGTCCCCTGACTCTTACCCCCAACTGTCAGCCTAGTGACCTTGTGTCTATAGGGTCTGTAGGTCATCTGTAGGGTCTCTGGGAGTTGGCCAGGCTCAAACAGCTGAAGGAAGCTGAAATCCTCTGCTCAGATCCCTCTTACAGCTGCTTTCCTCCCTTAAATCCTCTTTTGTAGTTCCCCCAGGATGTGACGGATTGCAAGGAGGAAGAGAAGAGTAGGATGTGGCTGGGGGGATGTCTCACCTCTCACCACCAAATCCAGGGTCTTGCTGACAGCAGACCATTCTATCGAAGCATTCTTGGTGAAACACTGGCAGCTGTAGCGGCCCCCCTCACCTTCCTGCACATGGGAGAAGTTGTAGTCATCTTGTTCCCTTGAGAGTACTTGGGCTCGGATCTGGCCCTCCAGGTACAGGAAACAGCCAGTACTGCGGTGTGGGGGGGTGCAACGGAATATCACATGAGTTCCTGCAGTCACCTCACGCCCAGGCAGGACAGAGAGGTCAGGTCCAGGGAGGCGGATCCCTGGGGGGACAGGAGAGGGCTTGAGAAGACATACAGGGCTTTGACATGGTGCCAGGAGCCATCAAGATCTCCATAAACCCATCAAAAGGCTTAGATGAAGGTGCAGATGGTCCCCACCTCTCCAAGCCAGGGAAGAAGAGAAATCCCCTGCCCATCATATGGATAGGGAAGCCAAGTGTCTGCATGCATCCCAGTCTGCACATAGGGCATGTGACCCCGCAAGAAGGGGTAACAGCACATCTCTCACCTGTCACCACGACATCCAGGTCATCGCTGCGAGCCAGCACAGTGCCTCCCTCCAGGTAATGGCAGTTGTAGGTACCTGTGTCCTTGTAGGTGGCATTAGAGATGGAGAACTCGGCCCTGCTGCCACTCTGCTTGAGGGTACGGAGCTGGTGGCCATCCTTGTACAGCATGAAGTTCCCATTGCCATGCTGGCAGCTGCAGCAGATGGTGGTGGAGCCTCCTGGTGGGATCACCCCAGGTGGCTTCAGGAAGATGGAGATTGTTGGAGCACCTGCACAGGGAGAGAGAGATGCTGCCAGACAGACAGGGAGCCCCCAGCAGCTGTCCTGACATGAGCCTGGGGCTGCCTCTGGGCACAGTCTCCACACAAGGGTGAGTTTTGTTCCATGGGGCTGCAGAACTGCCCTAGGAGATGGGTGGGGACCAGAGATGAGTCCAAACTCCCCAACTACCTCCTCAAGATACTTACTTGGTGTAGCCTTGCTCTGTGCCACCAGCCAAGCACCTGCAAGAGAAGCAGCTGTGTAACATCTATGTGAAGTCTCTGGATGCCTCCTGCCACCCTCTGGGAGCCTGCACAGCCTCTGGCACTCACCGAAGGCCAACACATGGGTCACAGGCAGCATTGTATTCCTCTTGGCTCTCTCAGTACTCAACTCAGCAGGGCTTCTTCAGAGGAAGGCGCTGGCTAGGAGGCACTGAGCAGCTGGGTGGCTTCTTGTGGGTCCTGATATGACCTCGTCGCCACAACCCACCTTCTGTCGCACGGCTTGGGTTTCTGCAAACACAAATGCAGGGCTGGGATGGTTGAACTGGAACCACAATGTCCTAGTCACATGCCTGGGTCTGGGCCCCCGTGATGACTTGGTCTTAGGATCCTGCAGACCCTGGGAGAAAAGCCCTCAGGACTTTTTGTTTCTCTTTCTTAGTTCCGGTCACTTGGTGGGGAAATGTCTTCCTTCTGCCTTGTGAAATAGGGAGTTGTTTTGCAACTGCAAAACCACAGGCTTGGTGGCTCAACAGAATGGAATAGGACGGGAGGAACTTAGCTTCCCTTTTGGCCTTCTCAAGGGATGATTTTTCCCCTGGCCTGCAGTGTCTGTCATTGGAGGAGGGATAGCAATACCTCCAACCTGTAGGTCTGGATGCACCTTTCAGGAATGGTCTCAATCCCCATCCACCCAGGCTTCCTCATTCCCGCACTGGAGCAATGGAACATCCTTACTCCACTTGGCTGCTCCCTTCCACCCCTCCTGAAGCCAGACTTCCAGCCTCAGCTGCATCTTGACTGGGCTGGCCAGGCATGTAGACAGAGCTCTCTTTGGCTATAATGTACGTCTGATTAAACAGGGGAAGTCACATCTCCAGGTGATGTGGGAGCAGGGAATGGATGGATTGTGGCACTGGAGTTGTGTGGGACACGTGGCAGCTTTTCCAGTGGTCCTGCTCTGAAGGCTGCAGCGTCTGTAGCTCCCTGTCCTCCTGTGAGCTGTGGGCAGCATGTCCTGCTCCCTCTTGTGTGTGCAACCTCTGCCACAGTTGGCCACAGCAGGAAAAGTCGGGAGGACTCCAGGCTGGGCAGCTGGGGTTTATATGGGTGTAACCCAGAGGGGAAAGGCAAAGTGGCCGCTGGACTTCTCCAGAACCCCTGTGGTCCCTCCTAGACTCTCTCCACCCTTTGCTTTCTTCCCCCTTCAGCCCTTTCGGTCTCCCTTGGAGATATCATGGACTAGGAGAAGTTTGGGCAGTAGGGTGCCCTATGGCCTCCTCCTGTTCTGGGCACCTCCTCTGGCCCCGTCTCCTGACTAACCCCCTTTTGCCTCCCCCAGGCTCGACTGATTCTTGGCACCTCCTTGGAGAGCCTCCCTTCAGGCCCATTCACCTCCACAGCCTCCACTGGCCACAACAAACTGCTCTGGTCTTACCAGAGCCCAGAGGAGAATGACCTCTGGCCCACCCTGCAGGCTCTGCCCTGGCTCTCTCCATCCAGGATGGAGTTGGTGGCATTGCCATGGGGCTCATCCATGGGCATATTGGACTCCTTGTGCCCTTCTGGAGAGGGGAACATCCCTTGGCTGAAGACCAGCCTCTGGGTGCACATTCAGGGCATGGGATTGAAATAGAAAATGAAATAAAATATTAGCTATTTAGCTATGTAGGTGTGACTTTGCAAAATGTAAAACTGCTTAAAAGTTTCTGCCCAAACTGTGGGCAATTAAGATAAAATAGCTTAGAGAATAGGGAAGGCTTTTTAGCACACAGAGAGGGGTGGGGAACCTGAAACTGCTTGAAATGATAAAACTTTATGTAACTACTCTATAATGGTAAGAATAGGAGGTAAAACTAAGTGTCTGTTTAGATAAGGCAGACTGCAAAAAGAGTGTGTGTATAGATAATTTTAAACTTGCTACTTTCAAACTGTATAAAAAGCTATGGTATTTCTTGGCTCAGTGGAGTGCACTGGGGAGAACATCTGCCCCTTTGCATTCCCCGGCCGTAATAAAAGTGCTTTTCAGATTGTTCAAAGGTTTCTTTGAATCAGGACCATGGAAAGGGCTTCCCCCTCTGTTACCACTGTTAGAAGTTACTGCATCCAGCAGCCCGAGGAAGACGAGGCTGCCACAGCTCCAAGCCCCCAGGTCCAACCAATTGTGGAGTCATCATAGGACACATAGGGATACACACAGCCAACCTCACAAATCCATACAGGCACACACCCCCTCACACAAACAGCACCAACAGCCTCATCCCGCTGAGCAAGATGTGGCCCTTATTCTTCCCCTTGAGGCACATTTGAGCTTAAATATAAAAGGCTTTAATGAACAATGTATTGTTCGAGTCCTACTACCATGAAGCACCTACCTGCACACCACTGCAGTCAGGAGCAAGGGGACAGAAGGAAGAGCTGAGGAGGTTTCCCTTGAGACGTGTCCCCCTGAAATCTGTCCTACACTCCCCCTAAAGCAGCATGTCCTACAGGTTACTTTTTCACACATTCCAAGTGGTTTCCATGTCTTTATGGTCTTCGTACAACCTGTGGTCTGCAGTCCAAATAGCCTCAATGTGGTCTCCTTGGGGTTCTTGTGTGGCCTGTGCAATCAGTGTGATGTCCTGTGGTCCTCACGTAGTCTGTAATAGTCCATAGGGCCTAAATTGGTCTTATGTGATCTGTACAGTGCAAGTGATCTCCGTATGGTCCCCATGATCCATTTGATATGGCTCCTTCATCCAGGACAGTTGAGATGATTCTGAACACCTGTCATAGGCAGGAGACCAGAAACTGGGTCTCCCTGGGGTCCCTCTCCCTTCTGGCCTTGTCCTGAACACTGATGTCCCCCAAGGAACCTGTGGACACTCACTGGTGTGCTGCCCTGCTGGAGCAGCCAACACCCTTTAGTGGGACGGTAAGTGACAGAAAGATGAATGGATGGATGGATGGATGGAGAGGGTCTGTGAAACCCTGGTCTGAGATAGTTGCCCTCCACAATCACACAGCCTCTTCCTATATCTTCCTGGATGAATGTCTGGCTCCCACATGTGGCCCTCAGGTATGTCTTGGTTCCTCCACACCCTTAACATATGTATTGTCCCTCAGTTCTCACCTGGACACATGTCCTGGTCCTATCTCACCTTAGAAACCCCCGTGAATGGCCAGTTCTGTGCCCAGCGGAGTCCATGACTTGGATCATTGCTGGCCCTCAGGCCCTCATCAGGCCCTCTGTCCCTGACTGCCCCAGGCTCAGGGACTCTGCAGGACAGGGACCGCCCACGTCTTTCATTCCCCAGTGCCAATGCCCCTAGAGATACCTTTCTCAGTGCCCTCCATGTCCTCAGCTCCTCCCATTCCTTCCATCCCCGGCTGTGTATGCAGCGGGGAATCGAAACTGTTGAGCCGGGAATCGAAACTGTTGAGCCGGGAGGCGGGGCCAGTGCCAGGGAGCGAGAGGCGGACCGGGACAGTGCATATACGGCAGCGGCACCGGGACGGTGAATATACGGCAGCGGCACCGGGCACTGGCACCAGGCAGAGGCACCGGGCAGCGGCACCGGGACAATGGATATACGGCAGCGGCACCGGGCACTGGCACCGGGCAGTGGCACCGGGCGTCCCTCATGGTCCTCAGGCAGCCAAAGGCGTGAGTCAGTCTGGGGCTTGTCACTGAGGTTTCACTGGGCGCTTGTGGGGGGACACAGGGAGTGGCTGAAGGGTGACTGAGGGAGGTGGGGACTGCGAGGGTCAGGGCTTGCAGGGAGGGAGTTTCCGGGTTGCCGAATGTCTTGATTTTGGCTGGGATAGAGTTAATTTTCTTCCCAGAAGCTGGTCCATCACTGTGCTTGGGATTTGGCAGGAGAACAACGTTGGTAACACACATGCTGGAATTGGTGTTCAGTTGTGCTTACTCCAAGTCAAGGACTTTTCAGTGTCCTATGCTCTGCCACTGAGGGGGGAGCATGGCCAGGAGAGCCAACCCGAACTGGCCTGAGGGAAGTTCTGTACCACAAAACCTCCTGCCCAGTGTAGAAACAGAGTGGTAGTGGTGGGGTGTCCGGGAGCCACTGGTCACTGCTGGGGGACTGGCTGGGCATGGATCAGAGGTGTGGTGAGTGACTGTTGGGCATTACTGGTTTATCTTGGGTTTTGTTTCTCTCTCTCCTCTTTTCATTACTATTAGTAGTAGCAGTAATATCAGTGTACTTAGTTTTATTTCAGTTATTAAATTGTTCTTATGTCAACCCACAGGTTTTAGCTTTTCCTGATTCTCCTCCCTATCCCACTGGGAGCAGCGAGCGGCTGCTTGGGACTGAGTTCCCAGCTGGGATTAAGCCATGACAGTTTTCTTAGTGCCCAACCAGTTTGGGTTGGCTCTTCTGGCCATGCTCCCCCCTCGCTGGCAGAGCATGGGACACTGAAAAGTCCTTGACTTGGAATAAGCATGACTGAACACCAGTTCCAGCATCAGTGTGTTACCAGCATTGCTCTCCTGCCAAATCCCAAACACAGTGCTGGGAAGAAAATTAACTCTATCCCAGCCAAAACCAGGACATTGGAGCATTCCAGGAAGAGGTGGGGACCCTGGGAAAGTGTGGGTGTAATCCTTGGAGGTGGTTGTTTCAGAGAGTCCTGGGAAAAGATGGGGTCCTTGACTCCAAGGAAGGGGACATCTGGGGGATTCAAGGAGGACATAGAGTCCTGGTTACGCACCCTCCCCCACACTCTTTCCCCTTCTCTCTGCTTTACAGGGAGACTTTCTGCCAGCGGGCACCCGTCTTCCTTGATTACCTGCACAGCATCCTGCAGAAGTACCCAGATGGGGGGCAAATCCTCAAGGTGAGACTCCCAGGGAACCCACCTATCCAGACTCTCCTGCCCAGCTGGGCAGACCAACCCAGGCAGTGGGGGGTTGGTCCTTGCCCAGCACCAGCTCCAGGACCTTGGTTCCCAGCTAGAGAAGGTCGGTGCTTTTCTTATGGGCCTGGGACAGCCCAGGTGACCATGCACTCATTCTTAATTCCAGGAGCTGGTGCAGAATGCGGATGATGCTGGCGCTAAAGAGGTCGTGTTTGTGTCCGATGAGCGGGAATTCAACATCAACGGAGGGGGACTGGAGGGCACCCAGGGTGAGAGGTGCTATGGGCACTGGGACAGACCGGATGAAGCACTGGGGTGGCACTGGCTGATGCTGGGATGGACTGGGTGATATTGGTGAAGAATTGAAGAATGATTAGGGAACTGGGGGAACTGGAGCTGATGAGGGGTTTTGGGATGTTCTGAGGTCACTGAAGGGTACTGGGAAGACTCAGTGGTACTGAGGAGCGTTTCTTGGGACTGAGATTGTGGGAACACTGAGTCTGGGTCACAGAGCCCCCTACATGTCCCAGTTCTCCCCTAACTCATGGTCCTGGTCACCAGGCCCAGCTCTCCTGACCTACAATGATGCTGTGATGTCACCTCAGGACTGGACAGGGATTCAGCGCCCAGGGGTGTCGCACAAGCGGGAGGATCCCCACACTGTGGGGCGCTTCGGCTTGGGCTTCACTTCTGTCTATCACCTCACTGGTGAGTAGCACCGGAAACCTCAACTGTGATTGAACTGGGGACATGGGTTTTACTGGAGGTTCTGAACTATAGGAGCGGGGGAGAACTGGGGGGCAGTGAGGTATGCAAAATGGAGGGCAGTGTGAAGTGAGGAAATCTGAAGCACCAGGAGGCTGAAGGGAGGCTAGGTGGCAGTGGAGGGCAGAGCAACAGCAGAAAACGGAGGGGAGCTGATGAATTGGGATTAGGCTTTGGATCATGGGAAGCACTGTGGAGATGAACTTGAGAGTATTGGATGGGCCTTTGGGTTACTGATAGGTTAGGATGATCTGGGGAGGTAGTGGTGTCCATGCCATCCCTGTGAAGGCCTCATGGTTCTCATGTCTCCAGACCTGCCAGGTGTGTTGAGCCCCCCATACTTGGGGGTGCTGGACCCCGAATGCCAGGTGCTACCAGGTGCTGGCAAGCGCTGGGACATCTCTGCAGCTCAGCACTTTCCCGGCCTTTTCGAGCCCTTCTGGACTGGACTGGAAGCTGTGGGACAACACCGTGCCTCTCCCCAGGGCACCCTCTTCCGCTTTCCCCTTCGCCGGCAACCTTCAGAAATCGCTGCAGGGGTCTCCGATCCTGAGCGCATTTGCAGCCTCATCCAGACATTCCTCACTGATGGCCCTCTTGCCCTCCTCTTCCTCCACCATGTCCGCCGTGTGGCCCTGCACCGTGTGGCCCCTGATGGGGTCCAGACACTCATGGGGACTCTTGTGGCATCCCCTCAGCCTCTCCCTGTCCCAGTGCCATCAGGGGATGAGGGGCTGAGTCTGGCGTGGTGCCTGGTGGCCTTGCATGGGAATGGGGTGGATGACGTGAGCGAGTGGCTGGTAGCCACAGGCAGGGCCACAGAGGGGCCAGTCATGGCACTGGGCACAGGGCTAGGGTGCTGCCCAGAGCTGAGCCTGGCACACCCCCTCTGTGGGCCCTGCCAAGGGCGGCTCTGCTGCTTCCTGCCCCTGCCAGCCACTGACTAGATGGCCACGAGGCTGCCCGTCCATGTCAGTGCTCCCTTCGCCCTCTCTGATGACCGCCGCCACCTCCGCTGGCCTGAGCAGGGTGAGAAGGGTGAGGAAGATGCCTGCTGGAACGCCCTGTTGCTGCTTGACCTCCTGCCCCGGGTCTACAGCCACTTGACCGCTGTGGCCATGGCTCTGCCTGGCGCAGATGTCTACAGCATCTGGCCAGACCCCGACTGCATGCCAAGCTCTGACCGGATCTGCAGCCTGGTGACCCGTGTCTGCCAGGAATTGGCAGCTGCCCCTCTCCTGGTGCCAGCTGCAGAGGGAGTGGCAGGGCATCTGCGGGCGCCTGAGGCTGTGCTGCTGCCGGAGGCTGTGGGGGACATGGCTGCACAGAAGGCAGTCCGGGCCTTGCTGGTGGCAGCTGGGGAGCCGTTGGCTGAGGTCCCAGCCCACGTGTGGAGGGCGCTGGCTTTGGCGATGCTGAAGGGCATGCGGGAGGCCGCAGCGGGACATGCATGCGGGAGGTGCTGCGACGCCATGGGGCCATCGACCTCTCAGCTGCCGACTGTCTCTCCCTGCTGCATTACGTGGCCGGGGATGGGTGCCATGCTGAGCTCCGGGGTCTCCCCCTCCTGCCTCGCGCTGATGGGACCTTCGTGGCCTTTGGAACTGCATCAACCATTGTCTACGTGGACACATCCGACTGCCCCAGGTAAGCCCTCAGCCCCTGGCAGCCCCATTCCCTGTGGAGCGGACAGGAGAACTAGTTGCCCAGAGGTGCAGCTCCCACTCTTGAACTGGAAAGGGCGACCACAGCTGAACCTGGACATTTGGGATCCTCACTGCCCTCTTCTCACCTGGTGTCACCAAGTGGGAGCTGAAGCAGGTGTCTAGGAAGCTACCTGCCCCCCATTACCCCTCTAGTCCCCCAGCACCACTCTTTGTCCCCACAGGGAGCTCCTGCCTGGCCTGATGGGGTCCTTCCTGCCTTCAGACCTGGAGCTGGGCTTGGACAGCCTCCTGCGAGGCATTGCCAAGACAGGTAAGAGGGGGGGGGCCCTGGACTATCTTCGGTCCCCTGGTTGCCGTCTAAACACCAACACCCTCGTATAGCCTGGGGCTCCTCTGCAGCCCCAATATCTCCCTGTATCTCCCTGTGTCTCTGGGGACTCCACTGTCCTTGCTGTTCTTCCCACATTCCCCTGTCCCCCCTGTGCTCCCTTGGATTCTGGGTGTCTTTGTGTTCCTCATCTGAAGACCAGTGCCCCCTAATACTGGTCCCCCTAACACCTCTTTTCCTTCTCAGATCTCCTTTATCTCCACCAGTCTGGGGTTTTACTGTCCTCCTATTCAGGGTATCCACTATCCCTCCAGAACCCAGTTCCTCCCATCTCCAGTATGGGGGACCACCCATCCCCTGCAGATCTCAGGCTCTTTCCCCCACATCCTGGGTCCCCCTCTCAGGTCCCAGGTCCCATGTGCTTCTAGTCCAGCCTCTGCCTCTT